AATCTTGACTTTTGACTTTTGAAGCAAAAGCTTGTTTTTGGTGCAATCTCCGTTTCTGATCTTGGAGCAGAAACTCTAACAAAAATTCTTTCTTCTAGAATACTTATAAATTCTAAAGCAGCAACTAATTAAGAAGTACATAGGAGATCCTCTTTCTGGCGAACATTCAGCCTCTTCAGAACTATTGATGTTTCTTCAGAAGCCGATGAAATAGTCTTTCTAATGCGTGCTTGGTATATTTCTGATGATTCTTCAGACAATAGTCATGAATCAATTAGAACTTCTAATCTGCACACTCAAGAAACTATTAGAAACAAAATTGTTTACATATAAAATATATGTATTATTTTCATCAAAATCCATAGATTAATTGTAGAATCCAAATCTTGTTCTAACAGTCAGCACCCCGGTATTGTTACTAACTCTGATGTAACATGTAAAAAGGACACGCCCTTCACTATGCACCCTAAGTTGTTTGAAGGGACACATGTCCTAGACATTATTATAACATCTGACAAAGGAACTATTGCGTCAACCTCAAGCACAATGGTCTTGACTAAGTTAAAGTAAAATTGCAAAGACTTGGATGAAACAATAAGAGCTTGCGCTGAAAGAAAGATCTAAATTGAAAGTCTTATTAGAGCTTTTTCAGAGGAAGGGGCTAAAGGAAATTTGGTTGATGTCGAGGATGAAGAAAGTGAAGGCAATGTTGCTACTAGTGATGATGAGGATCTTGAGAAACAATAATTTCTTCTGGTGGACTTTTATTTATGTACTTTTTGGGCTGTGCTCTGATTTTTTTGCACTACATGTGATTTTGGGTTATAATCCTGACTAAGTTTATTTTGCTACATATATGACCTTTTTGAATGATGGTTTTTTATAAGAAATGTGTGTAGAAATATTTATGGTCCATATTTTTTTTTGCTGCATAATTCTTGAGGGGCAACATGATTAATTTCTTCTATATGCCAGTTCAGTAGTCTAAATTGTGGCTAAAAGGGGGAGAAATATGTTTGAATTTGTTTGATGCTTGTTGATGTTCCCTTGAGGGGTTTTTTTGATTCCATGTGACAGATGGAGTATTGTGACAGGGGGAGCATGATGCTGGTGTGCTGAGATTTTAATTCTCTCAGGTGTTGTTGTGTTGATGCTTTGTGATGTCCGACAAAATGTCATGACATATGGTTTCTGGTGGAATTCTGGAGTATGAGGGTTTATTTATCTCTTTGTGTGTGAGGTTGGGTCTCTACTTTAGTTATGTTTTTTGCATGTGTCTCTGATATGTTTATTGTTTTTTTTCAAGTATGCGTGATGTTCATGTATCTTGTGTATGGTTGTTTTGTTGTTGTTTGTTTCCCGATCTCCAGTTATATCATGAAAAGGTCGTTTTAGCCAAAATTTTCCAAAAGGGGAGATTGTTAAGTTTTTATTTTTATGATTGGAAGCAATTTTGTTAAAACATGTTTCACAATAAGAAGTTATGGCATATGTCTTAACATGTTGTTCAGACATCTGTGAAGGCAGATGTCGAGCACAATGTTGTCACATGTTATACCAGAACACCAGTGCAGTTTTAGGTTTTACTTCTTGGAAGATTTATTTTTAAAATATGAGATTCTGAATGATTTTAGTTCTCATATAGCCGCAGACCAAGGAGGGATATTTTAGGAACACTGGTTCTATAACATAATTGATTTTGTTTCATAAAAAGGATCTTGGAGACTTTTTAGGAAACTTTATATTTTTGTTCCTATTTTTATGGAGAAGATTTTGCAGAAGATTTACAGTTGGAATATTGGATTTGTGTGAAGAGTCCAAGCCTATGCTTTCAATAGTATTTTTATATGGACTTTCTAAACCAAAAATAATATGGAGAAGTCGTGTGCATGAGATAAGGGTTTAGGGTTTTAGTTTGTTCTATGTTCATTGTGATCCACTCTCTTATCACATTGATATTAGAGTTGGACTGAGTATTAGTTGTTATTTGTAAATCACTCATAAGCCTTTAAGCAAGAGTGAATTGTGTGTCAAGTTATCTTTGTTCGTGTTGTCAATCTTCTCGATGATGACGACTATGTTCATGTTGTCAACCTCCACGGTGAAAATGACCAGTAAAGAGTGACAATATCAAAGTATTGAACAAAAAATGAACGATAAACCGTATTGAATGATGGTGTTAGGGTTGAAATCGTGTATCATTTCACAATATTTAAGGTTAGGGTATTTTCGTCTTGTTTCTTTTTTCAGTGGAAAAATATGGAAACTGAAGAGACAAGCTAGCTAGAAGTGTATAATATTTAAAAAGATACCACCACGGTCTAAACTCTAAACCGTAATGATATGTTATTTACATAATAAAATTTCATAAAGAAGCATAAACGTTTAGCCATTTAAAAATAAAAAAAAAACAAAATATATCACAACGGTTGAACTAACCAACTTTTATGCTATTCCTTTTATTTTTTATTTAAAAATAAAAAAAGTAAAAGGCGCACCTTAACGTTAAAGGAATAAAAAACTTGAGTTGGCTGAAGTTCGAATCTATAAAAGCTTGAACAAATCACCATGGTCAGTTAAATAACTGTTATTATATCCTAACAATTATTAATTAAAAAAAATGTTCGCACCTGAATTTGTAGATGTCACCACAGTGTTTAGAAGAACCGTGGTGACTTTGGTGTTGTTGTATGCGCGTTTGATAGTAGTGACTCAAGAGTAGATTCCGAGGAAGTAAGTGGAAGATACTTATTCAGGGTTGTTTTAGTTTATCGTTATGTAGTAGATATTATGCTCTGATTCATGTAACATTGGATGGGGGTTGACAATTGTCTTCTTAATTTCTTATGTTATTTAAGATGTTGGGTTGAGTGTTGACAACCGAGATATTTTATGATATTTTTATGAAGTGTGACGCCCTTGTGGATGTATTTTTATGATTAAAATAATCATTAATTTTGTGGGGTTGTAGAAGGGAGTTACACCTACTCCTTTCCATAAAATTTGATCTTGGGACTATCAAATAATGCTTATAAGATTTTAAAAGGTTTAGCTCACGAATCTTTTATACAAGAAAAAATTAAGTTTAAGGTTTGCTTCCAATCAAACAACGAACAACAATATGAAACAAGTAGTCTTTCTTCCAAACACGAACAAAGATTTGAGTGGTTAATTTCTAAGCTTTAACCAAGATTTTATATGGATTTATCTCAAACTATTATGGAGTTTGGAACTGGCTACCCTCTAAAGTGAACTGAGGTTTTACATAAGATGATCACAAATCAAATCGAGATTTTATATCATACAGATCTCGAACCAACTGAGCTTTTAAGGTTGTGCTCTAAAATCAATAAGAATATTTTTAATTGGTCATATTCAAGAACCCAAAAAAGAGTTATTCCTTAAGTGTCTCAACGCACGAACCAAACAGAGACTTAATGCTTAATCCTCAATGAAAGCTTTTAACGGGGTTAACTTCAAACCAAACAGACACTTTCTAAGAAAGAGATATTCAATCAAGAGGGAAAATAACTCTTGGTGAGTTTACATTATTATCCTTTATAGAACAAACTTCCTCATTTAAACACAAAAACCTTTTTGAAAGCGCTATGACTAAATTTATGTGGTAGAAAGAAAAAAAATATTTTAGAGAGAGAGAGAGAGAGAGAGAGAGGGGAAGGTGAGATAAATCAAGTTTATGGATGTGAAAAAGTGAGGGGAGAGACATCTATTTATAGGCTAAAGGATGGTTCAAAAAAGGAAAAAATCTATGAACAAAATTAATTGTCCAATTGATTGGGTTATCATTCCAATTGATTGGATGACCTAAATAATAAATTACTTTAGACCATTTAAAAAATATTTGATAGAGAGCACCTATACTTCATTAAAACATTGTAACAATCGATTATGGACTATTTTTTTCTCTAATCCAATCAATTGAGAATATGCTCAAATCAGTTGGGTAGTATTGACTTTTTACATCGGGTAAAATTGACTTTTTACATCGGTTTTGGATCCGATGTAAAGTCAGGTGATATAGTAAATCAGAGACTTTTTACATCGGTTCTGGGACCGATGTAAAAAGTCCATTTTTTACATCGGTTATAATATCAGAACCGATGTAATAACCTGTTATTATGCACAGTTTTTAAAAAATTGATCCAGTTTTTTACATCGGTTGGAAGTAATACCCGATGTAAAAAGTTCCCAGTAACGCGACTTTTTACATCGGGTATTACTTCCAACTGATGTAAAAAGTCCCTTTTTGAAAGTTTTTACATCAGTTTTACTAATAACCGATGTAAAATGTATGAAATTTTTTTGGAATAGATTATTTATTTCCTGGGTTTCCCTATACAAATATAATTTGTACCCATTTTTTCATATTTTTCCAATATCAAACAGACTATATTTATGTCACTATATAGATTTCATAGCTTTCCAACATCACATATATCACATTTAGGACGATGTTTTCATATTTTTCACAACAAACTTACAAATTGAACAATTGTATTGCAAACTTGTATTGTATTACAACATACAAACTTACAATTACAAATTCTTCACAAAATATAAAACAATATTCAACTATTTATAAGTCTTTTTCAAAACTTACAATTACATAATATTCACAAAATATACATATACTAAAATATTCAACTATTTCTAAGTTTCCAAACTTGAATTACCAATATAAAATCTTCGGTAGACAACACCAAAATCATATTGCCTGACAATAAATAATAACAATTAACATCAGCAAAAAAATCAAGAAACTCAACACATGAGCAACACATGAGAGATATAACATATTAATAGAGATTGACTTTAATAAAACAATAAAATTTACTTACGTGCACCAAATAATGTGTTGCTTTTTGAGGAGTAGGAGCATTTTCAGACACATCTTTTACTTCCTTCCATATATCCAATGCCAGATTCATAGTCTCTCGAACAACTTTGACCTACAATAATCAAACACAGAACTGGTAAATTTAAAACCCAACTGGTTCATCCCCAGGTGGGGCATCCACAGTAGCCTGAAAAGATCATGGAATTTAAAACATGCTTCAGCAGAAAAAACCACATTGTTCCCGAATAGATCACGTTTTTAGGATGAAAAAACAAGGAATTACCTTGTACCATGTCAGTGCCTGGCCTTTTGGTGCTTCTGAAGTAGATGTCCATTTCGTATTATTCAACCCATCTACCAGGTGTAACCTTTGATGTTCTCCTTGTACTCCAATCTGAGAAAGGAAGAAACACTTGATCAAAGGACGAAGGTCGACAAAAGTCATTGTTCACATCTTATATTACGGTCAATTGTCTCTAAAAGATTGAGAAGGTAATAGGAGATCCAAATTTAAATCAATTTTAAGATGATAATGCAAGAGGAAAAGTACCTTGTAAGTCCACGCATTAGACGACAAGTCTATCGTCTTGTTGTTAAGTCCATTAATCTTTACAGTTGTTACTCCCGCCCCTACGAACTCGTAAAATGGTCCAGCTGTCTAAACATTAAAGAAAAGGAAATAAGAGTTCAAATCCTTTAAAGGATAGGAGAGAAAACAACAACGTTACAGAGTCATTTCAATTCTAACCTGCAAGCCAACTGTCAAACTCAATAACGCAATTTCATTCTTCCCTGCCTTGAGAGAGATGGGATTCTTGAAAGTGAATGGTGAGTGTGAACCATTTCCATATGCAGTGCCTAAGCGATGAGAAGTTAAAATCATGAAAAATAAAAAGCAAAGCGATTACTATTAGTTAGAGGATAACCTTGATATTTCTGATTCACAAAAGCATGGAGAGCATGACCCTTGGATTCTATTACAAGAACTGGTTCGCTTCCTTTCTTTAGGAACTCGTCATTTTTGCCAATAAGTATGCTGCCATCAACACAAAAACGAGCTTTAATTGACAGCATATATCTACTTTGAAAATAGTACCCTTTATGTATATTACATTATACAAATGAGCCTTTCAAGAAAGAAGGAAGGGAATATTATCAAATACTCATAAAAATACTCAGATCTAATCAACTTTCCTGATAGTTTTTAAAAACATAATAAAACAAAATTAAACTTGGTATACAAAAAATCTAATAGTCTTACTCTATAGTATTATTTTTGTAAATATTAATATTTGAAACATTATTATTTTTCTAATTAGTTAACATAGAAGAGAAAAGGTTAAGAAATGTGGCGAAACCCTATAAAAACATTAATCTTGAAATGAATAAAATTTTAAAGGTAGAATTTACCTGTAAGAAGCAGGTTTGTTAGGCCAAAGACGATAATTAACAGAAGAATGTGGCCAAATGATATGAAACAAATGATCCACCCAACCTTTCTTCCCATTCACCTCTTTCTGAAGACTAGTCCCATACCCTTCAATCGAATTCGATCCAACAGGTTTAGCAATAACCTCTTTTTCCTCTTGTGGTAACTCAAAGAACTCTTTACCAACACTTTGCAACTTTCTTATAACATCATTTGGAATCTCATGGTTCAAAATTTGAAACATTCCCCACTCTTTACTCGCTTCCGCTATCGCCTTACACGAGTCAGTCTTCAGAAGCTTCCCTAGCCTCGGAAGCGTAATCCTCCGGAGCGACTCAACGTCCGGCACCGGCGCTGCATCAATAGCCGCCGCAAGGCACAGCGAAGTGCCGATCTGCACATTCACGTCCTGCTCCAGCGTTAACGCGTCCATAAACGGCCTCAGGAACGCAACGGTGAACGAAGGACGAGTGATGCGCGACGACATCTCAGCAACAGCGTCGACGCAAGTGGATCGTACAACCGAGTCGGGATCCCTCAACCGACGGAGAACAGTAGCAATCATCTTTGAGATAAAAGGAGACATCGCGTCACCATGGAAACGCGATAGAAGGCTCAAAAGGTTAACACATTGTTTCCGAACCGGAGATTTAGAAGACGAATCGGTGTTATGAATGCATGAGAGAAAAGATGAGAACGAGTCATTATTTAGGGTTCTAGCGATGGATTCCCACCGATTTAATAGGTTGTTTTTTTTTTTTAAATACTTCTCAGGCTATTACATCGGTGGAAACTTCCACCGATTTAATAGGTTGCTTTTTTTTTTTTTAAATACTTGTTAGGCTATTACATCGGTGGAAACTCCAACTGATGTAATATGTTGCTTTTTTTTTTTAAATACGTGTTGGGCTATTACATCGGTGGAGAGTCCGAACCGATGTAATAGCTTACCTTTTTTTTTTTTAACCCACGTTTTTATGATTTATCAATATATTTTATATATTAATTCAAGCACATTTTTTACATCGGTTTTTATTTAAACCGATGTAATATATTGCTTATATTTTTTTTAATTTTTTTGTCACCTTGTTTCTTATTTACAAAAATGCCACCGTGTTTTTTTCTGGAAATCTTTTACATCGGTGGATGAGATTTCCCGATGTAATAGGTGACGAAAAAAAAATTTTCCCTTATTTTTTATATCATTGGAAATAAATACCTGATGTAAAAAGTTTGTTAACTGTATTTTTTACATCACCTATTTTGATACCCGATGTAAAAACCTTTTCTCAAATGTCTTTTTTTTAGTAGTGTAGAAAGAAAAAAAATATTTTAGAGAGAGAGAGAGAGAGAGAGAGGGGAAGGTGAGATAAATCAAGTTTATGGATGTGAAAAAGTGAGGGGAGAGACATCTATTTATAGGCTAAAGGATGGTTCAAAAAAGGAAAAAATCTATGAACAAAATTAATTGTCCAATCGATTGGGTTATCATTCCAATTGATTGGATGACCTAAATAATAAATTACTTTAGACCATTTAAAAAATATTTGATAGAGAGCACCTATACTTCATTAAAACATTGTAACAATCGATTATGGACTATTTTTTTCTCTAATCCAATCAATTGAGAACATGCTCAAATCAGTTGGGTAGTTCAAAAAACATGTCCTAATCATTATGAATATTTTCAATTCATCTTGCTAGACTCCAAAACATATTTAGAATATTTTCTTTGAGAAAGTGAGACTTTGAATTAGAGTTTTTATTCCGTGTGTGATTTAGCAATATTATTTTACAAAAATGCACTTGCATTTTTACAAAATATTGATCACTCAGATACGATCGCACGAGCTTTCACACTATGAAGCATTTTAACTTTAGCCAAAAACACCAATCACTTAAGTATTTTTCTTGGATTTTTTTTTTGGAGATGAGACTTGAGATACTTACAAGTTGGACGTTGTCATTAATGGATATCGCAGTGCTCATTAAACCCTAACTCTTCGACTTAATTTTGAGAAAGACTTTAAAAAACTATCTTGTGCATCTTTGACCACTTGAAATAGTTTCGTGTTTTTAAAGTTAATTTGCATCTCTATGATTTGTCATCAAGGTCATATTACATCTTTTCAAGTTCCCATCATCAAAATCATGATAGGCATGGCTTTCTTAACTTTGATTACTTCTTTATTTAACCTGCAATACTATGTTTGTTGTGATTTGAAGACAATGAGTTATAGACTTACCTTTGAATATAGGAACTCCATAATAGTTAAATTGTGTTTATTCCATAATAAATTCAAGCATATGTGCAATGTATCTCAACGTAGATTCATAAGTACCTCCACAATAAAAAAATAGATTTAGTTGGACTAATGATAACCATAATTCAGACCATATTCTTGAAGTAGATGATTAAGAACTTGAGAGTTTTTCCTAGTAGCTTTGCAAAATATCATAAGGTCTTCAGCAAAAAAAAAAGTGCTTCAAAATGATTGTCTTACTAACTTATATGTATATCAACCAACCCTTATCAACCAACATAAATAACTATATATCTCCTTGCTTCACTCCTTAGGAGAAATAAAAAATCCTAAATTTTATTTATTTATTATGATTGAAATTTCATTGAGTGTAGAATAGAAAGAATACAAATAAATTTTTTTATCAAAGTGAAATTGGACAAAAACTATAAAAAATTATTAATTAATGTAAACACTTAATGGATGTTACACTCTCTCTCTACAATTTGTAGTTTCACAATATTTTTATCTGGCACAATAACTTTTGATGAGAAACATCGACATTTAATTTAACTTATACAAAATAAAGAAATTTCAATTTTTAGTTAAATTTTTTAAATAACTTTTAGTATTATAAATATGTATTTTATATAGTTTTAAAATTATTTTATTTATTTAACATGTATTTGTATAAGCTTTTAGGTTTTTAAATTATAGAAAACAATGACATTATTAAAAACTACACACACATATCTAAAATTTTCAAACATTTCATACAATTGAAATAATTGTATTTTTAATTTTTTTGAAAATTTATATTTAATTTTTCAAAAAGTATTTATTGAGTGTCTTATATAAAACAACATTGTCTATCATATAATATGTTTTCAAATTCTTCATTAATCTCATGATAAAAACTTAAATTGAAACATTGATAAGAAAGTGTTACAATATCAACTAGTTCAACCTGCAAGGCTGCAAACAAATATAAATTTATGATAGCTTTTGTAAGTTCATCTACGAACCAAAAATAAAACAAAACAAAACATATCATGTATATCACTAAATAATGGATATGATTCGACATACAAATTATTTTATAATTGTCATTAATAATAAATAAATAATATATAAATACACGTATCTGAAGTTAATAAATGAAATAATACAACAATAATGAAAGAGTAAGAGTGTTATGCCGATCATGTATTCACTCTCAGATATAAAACAAATTTTATTTGACAAAAAAAAACCCTACACATTCCATTTTGAAATATGACAGATGTTAGCAAAATAATATTATAAAGCAATATTTAGAAATGACACTCAATTAAAATCTAAGACCGTAACCGTTTATTTATTTTATTTTTAACACACTAATTTTTATTAATAAGCTGCTTAGCCGGATTCGAAACAAGTTTATTTTATTTTATTTTTAACATAATACTCAATGAGTATTTTATTTTGAATAAATAGTTTATGAGGTATCTATCCATTATTGAGAGCTTGATTTTGTAACCTCTAGGAACAATTCAAATCATACAGAATACAATTGTAAGGTAATCATCAGAGTCATAATCATCATCATCATTTATTATTATTATTATTATTATTATTATTATTATTATTATTATTATTATTATTATTATTATTATTATTATTATTATTATTATTATTATTATTATTATTATTATTATTATTATTATTATTATTATTATTATTATTATTATTATTATTATTATTATTTATTATTATTATTATTATTATTATATTATTATTATTATTATTATTATTATTATTATTATTATTATTATTATTATTATTATTATTATTATTATTATTATTATTATTATTATTATTATTATTATTATTATTATTATTATTATTATTATTATTATTATTATTATTATTATTATTATTATTATTATTATTATTATTATTATTATTATTATTATTATTATTATTATTATTATTATTATTATTATTATTATTATTATTATTATTATTATTATTATTATTATTATTATTATTATTATTATTATTATTATTATTATTATTATTATTATTATTATTATTATTATTATTATTATTATTATTATTATTATTATTATTATTATTATTATTATTATTATTATTATTATTATTATTATTATTATTATTATTATTATTATTATTATTATTATTATTATTATTATTATTATTATTATTATTATTATTATTATTATTATTATTATTATTATTATTATTATTATTATTATTATTATTATTATTATTATTATTATTATTATTATTATTATTATTATTATTATTATTATTATTATTATTATTATTATTATTATTATTATTATTATTATTATTATTATTATTATTATTATTATTATTATTATTATTATTATTATATTATTATTATTATTATTATTATTATTATTATTATTATTATTATTATTATTATTATTATTATTATTATTATTATTATTATTATTATTATTATTATTATTATTATTATTATTATTATTATTATTATTATTATTATTATTAATTA